TGCAGTGTATACTCACCTTTGCATAATGTATTGTTGCAGCCCTACTTAGGGTCCCACTTATTTAATGACCTTTTGTCATTTACAACAGTTTTAAGACCTACACAACAACTGCACTAGTCGCAGCTCAGCTCTCTGCAATCAGCCCTTTGGGTCTTCTTGGCAATGTTGATGTTCGTAGTCTTAGTAATGGACCAGCAACTTCCTTGACAGAAGCCGGAGGAGAGGAAGATGATGAGCAAAATTGTCCGCCCTCATCAGGTACCTCAGGAAGTTCACAAGTTGGTGTGATGTATCAGATTTTTAAACTGTTGTATAGTCTCTTACTACATTTTAGTCAGAGTGGTAAGTTGGCATTGTACAGTGTAGATATCATTATTTATTTGTGTTTGGCTTCTGTTTGCTGTATTTCTCTCAGTAGTTTGACACACTTGCACAAGGACCAGGTTTGATGACAAGGCTTCATTACAACTGAGAGACAAATTTAATTAAAGCATCTTTCTTGTTTTCTAAAATGCTGTAAGAAGAGTCGTGTATAGAAGAGTAATAACATTATGTATTTTTTAAATGAAGATACATGTATGATTGTTGCAGTGGTGTTTGCAATTTAAGCAATTGCAAATTAAACTGAAAAAAAGTTCAGTACTTCAGCGGGTTTCAAACCCATGGCCTATTAGTACTGCAGTGCTCTACCAATATTGAGCTATGAAGACCCACCCACTGGGAGCAGACTAATTTGTTGAGTTGAATGAAACATATAAAGATGTGATGTATTGTTGTTCAACATACCAACTGATTTGAATAATCACAGATGTTATTAAAGACGTTCAAGATGAAATGCTAAAAAGTGGAAGCAGTGGTCATATATTTGCTGTAGTTCATATAGGTAAGTATCATGACTGTGTCAGGTGCTTGGAATATTGAGCAGTTCTTACTAGGCAACTGCTTACCAACATTTGGTTGAGTTAAGCAATTTTGAACTAGTCTATGATGAACACATCCATTATTAAAAGTTCCACTGGTGTATTTCCTCTTTTGAATTTGTAGAAATTTGACCTTACATGACTGTGAGCATTTTCATTTTCAGGAGGAAGACAATTTAAGATTACCATCAATGATACAATAGTAATCAACAGAATTGATGCAGACACTGGAGAGAGGATACACATTGAAAAAGTTAGATGAATTAATTATGTCTTCTTTACAACTAAAACAACTTTTTACTAACATTTGAATAACTACCATCAGGTCTATTCATGAGTTACAGCTGTGATAGTGGCCAATGTAAAAGCTGTTTCCACTGTGCATGTTCCTCCTTAGATTGTCTATTTCTTTCACATATCATTACAGTGTAAAACAAAGTTGAAGTTGAAGCTGGGGTATGTGGGATTAAGATTACAATGTACTATCCTTTGTCCTTGATCTTACACCTTTGTTAGTGCAAGCTTGTGGAGGACTCGTTTACAGAAGTAGCCCACACCGCTTTGGGCATCAGGAATTTGTCTAACGCCACTAGTGATTTAGTTCTAAGAGGTGGTTGAAAGTATTTTCAGTATTTTCAGTGAGCCGAAACTTGTGACTACAAAATGAAAGACTACAACTAGAACACATTCTTGAAAATGTGATGTTATTTTATTATCTTCTTTTGATTGTTTTGTTTGACAGGTTTTGATGGTTGGAGGAGAAAACTTCTCCGTGATAGGAACTCCTTTAGTTGCGTAAGTACAAAGTACCAAGCAAAGTATGTCTACACCATTTGCCTATTCTTTTCCTCATAGGCATTCAGGTAGTGGCGAGTACATTAAATTAATTGTATGCGTCGAGCGTAAGGTAAAATAGGGGGAAAAAGAAGAGAAACCCGGCCAGGGGTGTGGGAACAAGTAAGCCTTTTCTCATTTGTGCTAGTTGGGGAAAATTTTGGCATAGCTCCTCCGCCAAAATTGTCCCTGAACTAGCACAAGTGAGCCTGCTCACCGCAGGCTAGCCTTTTCTGTAATCCCTAGAATTTTGCAGTTCTCAAATGGAAAGGTTGCTCCTGTGCTATGAACATTTGCTTGGGTTACTGAGTGTCTTTTGGCAACACTCAATGCAATTCACTTACCTGAAACATGTCAGTGTACGTGTATTTATCAAGCACCAGGTCAGGATGGCTGGATATTTGCCAAGTTCTTTTTTTACGTTTTTTCTTGGACCACGACGAAAAAGAGATCTATAAAAGGTAAAAAGAAGAACGAAGCCTGTACATTCAGCTATCTTGACCGAACGGGTCTGGCCAAAAAATAATTTATTATATGGTCAAAGTAGGCGATTCAGAAGGGGGCAGGATAGGCCCATCTTGGCCGCTCGGGTAGCCTATGAGAAGAAAGGATTCGCTTCGTCTTGCACACTTGTGGAGCCAGCTACAAAATGACAATAAGATGGGTTAACAGGGTGTACGTTAGTTGTAATAATGCAAAGAGTTTCAACTCTGATGCATCTTGTTGTTGATTTCGTTATTTGGTGTTTTGTTTTTTACAGCAGAGACTTGGCAAGGATTGAAGCTACTGTAGTGGAAAAAACCAAGTCACCAAAAGTAATAGTTTTTAAAAAGAAAAGAAGGAAGGGGTACAAGAGAACTCAAGGTATAAACAAGTGTTTAGTTAGGGCGTTGATCTTTGAGCATGACTGATATGATGTTATCAATCTCGCACCCAGATCTCTTGTTGACGAAATCTGGTCAAGTAAGAAAATTCAATTTTTTTTGATTAGCTAGATCGTGAGGGAATGACGTGAGTGTTGTCTTCTGTGCGCGCTATAACGTACAGCCTTTGCAAAGTCTTCAGTTTTGTTCAAATAAATATTTTCACTAGTAGTAGTGAATAGTGTTCCGTCTCAATAAAACCATTTTAATCTTATCTTTAAATTCGTTTTAAAACTCTACCTCGGAATCATGATAAAGACTTTTGAAAAGGGTAAAAAAGAATCTCGCGTGAGAAAAGGTGGCGCGTACTGCTCTGAGCATGGATAATAGAAAGTCTTTCATCCATGGAAACACGGCCGCCATTTTGAGGATTATTTCAAGTATGCGATCTTTCAAGGCGTGTCACATTTCTGACAGGCGATTACGTGCAAAAATAAGCTTCTTTAGTCTACATGAACAAGAGAGCTGGGTACGAGATTAATGATGTAATATGTTCGGTTTTCCAGGCCACAGACAAGACATAACAGTGCTGAGAATAAACAGCATTCATGTCCAACCGGAACTTCTCTCCTTATCTACAGCTGGGAACTCAAGTTAAACAGCCGATTGAAGAAATCATCTGATGTTAAGCTGAACTTAGCACCGGCAACTGGCGTCAAGTTAGAGGAGACGTGGAACTGTTGATGAACGAAAAATGCGCGAAATTCAACTCAAGACTGGATTTGAATTTCTGATTGTGGTTCATGCCTATTCACACTCATTTCCGCAACTCACATTTTTATCAAGTACGGGGTACCTTTAGATTCATTTTTAGTTTCTCAGAGCTTTATTAAACCTCCCCCCACATAAATGGCCAGAACGTACATTGCAATGGAAACCCCAAAAATGGTTTTGAAATGCTGCAATGGGAATGTCCCCAGGAGGAATTTCTACAGAAGATGCCTTATTTGAATGATTGGTTTGTCTTCGTTCTCAGAAATAACAGCTATGTTCATTCCCCAAGAGTTGAGAATTAAATATACATTTTTTCTGAACTGGTTTAAGGTGTTATCATTTCTACAACAACATTATTTTATTATTTCTGTCATTGAACTCTGGCCGAGAGTAAAACCTTTTACTCATAAAATTGGGTTCATTAGCCTATACTACATAATAAATAAATAAATAAATAAATAAATAGATAAATAAATAAATACCAATTTAACAAATCAAATGTAAAAAAGCTAACTAACGATATTATTTGATCAAAATCTCTCTACTATGGGAGGTAGTGTTAGTGGGAGGCTGAACTCGGGTCGGACTATCAACCGGCAAAGTCTTGAAAAGAACTTGTCAGTTCATGCTGCATGCTGTAGTGTACAAAGATCTCTGTCTCGGTTCGTTTAACGTGCATGAGCTATTTTGAATACTTCAGTGTAACCGTATCAACAATCTTCTGTCTAGCTGAGTGGATCCTCATACTATAGATTCACTTTTCTTTGTCTTTCCTTGCAAAATAAACAAACTGTTTCACCAAACGTTGTTTGGAGGGAAGACTCGAAGGTTTCAAGGTTTCTTCATGGTTTCTTAAGATAATGAAGCTCGTCTGATACCGAACAGCTAAGAAACTCCACAATTTTCATCATTGTTGTAGGTACATTTTTTGGTTTTTAACCTGTTGCCAGGTTTTTTATTGTTATTATTATAGATTTTTTTTACAACAGTTGCAAAAAAAATAAAATGAAGAAAAAATGGAGAAAAAAATTAATTTAAGAAATAGAAGAAAAAAAAAACAATATATAATAACGGACAACCGAGGAAACGAAGTATTAATGCTGCTACTATCACTACATCATTACTACGCTAAACAAAAACACAACGCACAACACACCTACATCGCCGTACACTAACACTGAATACTAAACACTAGACAGTACGCAAGCGCCACCTGAAGAAACAAATAAGAAAAAGCTACATTGTTGGAAGTTGTTGTGAAACGTGGTGATAGCTAAAGTTCCATCAACGGCAGGAGAGGTTCCCATTTTTTATTGTGGAAGTGGAGTTTGTCATTTTTATTCGCAATGAAACGTTCGATTTGGTATGTTTTATTGCATTTTGCGAATAAAAGGCTTTTCGAGAAAGGTGATTTACTTAACTTTGAACGAAAAATCAATATTTACCCTCGAGAATAATATAATTAACAAGAATACTGTCATCATTATCCACGCAAAAATTGCCAAATACAATATTTTTAATGTCGAAGTTGGTAGAAACTAGGTCTTGCGATTTAAGAATGGTGTTCAGCTCATTCCAGAAAGTGTCAACCTTCTCCCAGTGAAAGAAGGTTCTGTCGACTTTCCAAAACAACAAAGCTCCGGGGAACGACGGACTCTCAGCTGAGCTTTATAAATTTTTCTGGCCAGAAAGAGGTTACTTGCTGGTCGAATCATTAAACTACTCTTCGTAGTTACTAAAACATGGAACGACCTAAAACCACCTAAAACCATCTACAACCACCTAAAACCACCTCAAAAAATTCAACAACCACCTACAACCATCTACAACCACCTCAAAAACATCTACAACCACTCGCAAACAATCTAAAACCATCTAAAACAAGGTATAAATGTCTGAAATAAGGCGAGACGACAACATGTCACGTACATGAAATACGAGAATCAAACAAAACATCCACTTCCCCCTAAAATCTTACTCTCCCTGGTCCCTTGTATCATCAACCATTAAGCTTAACACAAAACTTCCACCGCACTGTCCTCTTATGTCGAGAGGGCTGGGATATAAGTTTGATTTTGTTTCCTCTCTCTTCTGAAACTCATCATTTGAGTATAATTTAAGCAACAACTGATGGTTTGTGATTTTTAATTGTTTTAAAATCATGTTTAAAATGTCACATTACCAGTGATTACATATGGTGCGAAATCTGGAATATGTCTGGAAAATTCATTTTGAACAATGATTTAATACACCTTCTAGTCTCCGTTTCCTGTGTCGTGACGCAAGGGAGTTTAGCCTTGCGTGATGACACAGGAAATGGATGTGAAAGACACTAGGGTTTACTGCCCTTTTCACAAACATGCGAACTCTAAAGTTCATAAGCCGCATTCACAATTGCGTTTTTCACTGCCGTCAATCATAATTACGATCACAAGCAACGAACCTTAAAACACAAAAACACACAAAACGGATCGAAATCCACCCATCACAAATCACAAACCTTGACCTTTTGAACCCGTTAAAGTAAAGTTTTGTTTCCTAAGAGGTCCGTTAAGATGATTGACAGCAGCGAAAAACGCAATCGTCAGTTGGCTTTTGAACTTAAAATTCGCATGTTTGTGAAAAGCGCAGTAATAATCTAAAGGAGTCGCCTGGAATGTACAAACAGGTTTGGTGGATGATAAACAGATGCTAAAACAATTAACTTGTCCTTAGGAATGTAATCCGCCACCTCAGAACAAAACAGCAGTGAAGCGGACTCCGAGAGAGAGAGAAACCCTACCATGTGCCATTATGTGAACAAATTGCCTGCGTGCAGACTTCTCCTATTTCCTTTGTTACACGCGTGCAACAAAGGAAATAGGAGACGTCTGCACGCAGGCAAGTGAACAAATGAAACGTGAACCAAAACGTCTCACTGGTACCCAGGGTAGAAAAAGCCAAATCAAGTCAGTCTTTCGACTACAAGTTTGTTATTTTATGTTATTATTTTTTGAGACTTGATAGTTCATTTTGTAAAGTTCTTTAAGTCTTTTAATATACTTAGCATGATCTCGCATTTCATTTCGTGACTTAAGCCAATGGTTGATGATACAAGGGACAAGGGAGAGTAAGATTTTGGGGGGGGGGGAAGTGGATGTTTTGTTCGGTTCTCGTATTTCATGTACGTGACATGTTGTCGTCTCGCCTTATTTCAGACATTTATACCTTGTTTTAGATGGTTTTAGATTGTTTGCGAGTGGTTGTAGGTGTTTTTGAGGTGGTTGTAGATGGTTGTAGGTGGTTGTTGAATTTTTTGAGTGGTTTTAGGTGGTTGTAGATGGTTTTAGTTGGTTTTAGGTGGTTTTAGGTCGTTCCATGTTTTAGTAACTACGAACTACTCTTACACACACGGGGAGTTATCAACTTCGCAGAAAGAAGCTATAATAACCCTGATTGAGAAGGAAGACAGGGATCGACGATTGATCAAAAATTGGAGACTGATATCTCTAGTAAAAATGTAGAAAATAGGCTCAAAAGCTATCGCAAAGAGATTAGAAAAGGTGCCGCCATATGTAGTCCATCATGACTAAAATGCTTGCGTGAAAGGAAAAACGATTTTTGCTGCAGTTAGAACAATAAGCGACATCACGGATTATACGGAAATGAAGGGATATGAAGGGATAAGGTCCGCCCTTGAGCCGGAAGGCTTTTGACTACCTGAGTCTGGACTTTCTTTTTAAATCTCTTGAACTATTTGGTTTTGGTGTCTCCTTTATATCGTGGATTAATTAAGACGTTTTATAAGAATATAACGAGCAGCTAACAATGGCTAACAATGGTTTTTTTACGCCATCTTTTAACTTCAAACGAGGAGTTCGTCGGGGCGACCCACTCTCACCATTCCTCTTTATCATAGTCCTCGAATTATAAGCAATCTCCATCCGAAATAATCGTCACATTAGGGGCATTAAAGAGAACGGAAATGAAATTAAATTAGTTACATTTGCTGACGACATGACAACCTTTGTTTGCGATAAGCCGTCTTAGTGTTATCAATTTATTCGGTACACACTCCGGCTTGAAAATTAACCACGACAAGACGGAGGTCCTACTCCTACCACTTGGTAATAAAGAAGTTGCAGTAAGGAACTTTGAATTAGAGGGCACTGAATTTAAGAAAACCATTAAAATTCTGGGAGTTCATTTCACTTATAACTTTTCACCGTTTTATAAATTAGACTTTGATACTATTGGAAAATCCCTAAGAAATTTGCTAAAGGGATGGGGTTGGAGAGGTTTAACATTGATCGGACAGGCCCGTAACCAGGATTTTATGTGGGGGGTGCTAACGAGGCCAAAGTGGACCCAACTACCGAAATGTATTTTTTATTTTCTGATCCGTTTATTTAGGAAAGTAGCAATACATGAGAAATTGTAACCGCAAAGTACACGGTAGGAACTGAATATTACATTTTTCGAATACAACAGTTTGAATTAAGTTATAAAGGAGTAATTTTACGACGTAAAATGATACATCAAAATACTGCGGAACTAATCCCTCAGAATAGTCTCGCGCTCCAGCCTGCGTGGGTGTAGCGACTAAATCTCAGAGCATGATAACGGATCAAGACTGGTGGACATTGTCAGCGTCTAATGGCTCTTGACGGGGTACTTTACTAACCCATGTATCGAGAGACTGGCAAGATTTAGCTGCAGCCTTCCTCTTTCTATTTTCCTGTTCTCCCGTACCCATAACGTATTACACAAAAAACTTATTTTGCATCTTCGGGCGTTCATGTGCTCGTACAAACAGAGAATACTACCCGACGCGTTAGCGGACGTGTCTGACAAAAATAGTGAGATCGTTCCCTTGTCATTGTCTTGCTCGTCGTAAACTCCTGTGCAAAGCGTGCACATTAATACGTAAGCTCAGACATCTGTGCACTCATTGAAATGTTCTGAATGGCTTAGCCTACTAGAGTGCAGCTGGTCTTATTTTCCCAGTGAATACACTACTGCTTTTTTCATTCTTTGATTTTGTTTAGATATCACTGTTAAGTTTGAAACTTCAGTTTAACCGACCGCACTCCTTAACTTGGATATTGAGTATCAAAATGTGGACCTTTGGGGCCTGTGGGGGG